TTACCTAATGCACCTTAATATTCTATCTGTCTGAAGCTCACTATATACATCTATGTATATACATTTTCTTGCAATATTTATAAAAGATATGAACTGATTAAATATGAGATATATCTGTCATGGATATAAGATATCTGTCATGGATATACTAATCCACAACCAACGTTTGCCCAAACTAGGAAAAGGTAGGTCCATTTGGGGGGGTAGCATATATATGTATATATTATGCTTTTGATGTGCCTGATCCCTTGTTCTCTCTTGCCCTGCCCTCAATTGTACCTCCTACTGTATTTGGCTTTGCCCAAAAAAACATCTCAACAAATTGAGCCGGGCGCCAGAGCAAACCCAGCCATCCGTTCATCCGTTCGAGAAAGAGTCGGCGGACGCCGAGTTTCAGGGTCGGCTTTGCGTCGGTTGCGCAGAAGACGACGCAGGAGGAAGCTGCCGCAGGGAAAGAGATGCAGGTCGCTCGAACTGTGCCAGTCGAGAGGTGGGCACATTTGACCGAGAGGCGCGGAAAACAGCACGTCGAGTGGTGGGACAACGGATGGTGGGGCCACCCGTTGCGCCAGTGACCCCCCAAAAAAATACACCCTCACGCAGAGGCGCCCCCGAAGGACCCGAAGTGGCTAAGCCTTCTTCGGTCCGGAGTGTTTCCACGTGTTTTCCGAAGGGCGAAGGGCGAAAGAGCATCTTCGGAAGCATTTTTGAGCACCCAAGTGATGTTGCGGTTTCGACCCAACGAACGCAGCGAGGATGAAAGAATTGGTCGATCCCGAAAACACCTCGCAGGTGACCTGCGGAAGACCAGATACCTGACAAGGTGCTCCATCGGAGCTTTAGTGGTCTCAGAGAAGCATCACACTCAAGTATGTTAAAATGCATTCAACCAAACAAATAAATAAGCAACAACTCTACCAAAGCAGTGAAGCAGCCTGTTGCGTAAGAAAGAAGCTCCAGAATCTGCCAATCTTCAGGTCCACTGGTCCACTTCGCCGTATGTCGTTTCCATGGACTCGTAGCTCGCGTCCCCGAGGGGTTCCATTGGATACTAGTAGCAAGAAGCTACAAGTAGCTCCTGGAATTACTACTAGGAACAAGAAGCTACTAGTAGCTCCTGGCATTACTAC